ATGAATTTTAACGGAAATGATTTCACAATTTTGTAACCTCTTGGCGCAGAGATTGCCCCTATGTACTTATAAACTACAATTATTCTTTACTTATATTTAATGTAGGATTCTATTCTATCTATATGCAATCTCATGCTATAGAGATTGAACTAAACTGTGATTTATGATAATTATCTATCACTATAGTGGCAAATTAAACAAACTCATGAGCCTATTTAGTATAGCAGTGAAAATTCAGCAGATAACAGGTAATGAGTAGTAAATAACAGACAATGAGTAACAGATAGTGGATAGCAGACAGTGAATGATAGGTAGCAGGCAGTGAATGGTAGGTAGCAATTATTGGAGAGTGGGTGACAGATAATAGAAAGCAAAGGCAAATAGTAAATAACAAATTCAATTTATATAACTATTTAGTTGTATAATAGTTAACAGGTATTATTTGAAATTAAATCACAAAGAAGGACATATTTAAAAACAATTAAGTATATTTTTTCTTTTTATATTTTTTATTATTAAAATTATTAATTTTATGAAAATAATAAATAAATAAATTATAATAGTATGATTATACACTAATTTTTATTTTTAATAAGGAAAAAATTATATTAGTTTTAAACAAAGTACAAAAAAAGTTTTAATCTTTTTGTCTAATTAGTGAATTTTATTTATTAAACTAATATATTTTTTATAATAAAATTAATATAAAAAATATAATAATTAGTTAATAACATTACAGAAAAAAAAGTTGAAATTAATTAGATAAATATTAATTAAAAACCACGAAAAAATTTTAAAAATTAAAGAGGATAAATTTGTTAATAAAATTAAAAAAATTCCAATTCGCTAGCAATTTTGTACAGAAAACTATTTAAGTAGTTTCTTCAATACACTGATGATTTGGATCTTAATCGCTATCCACTAATCCCAAATTACTAAATAAAAATTTTTATCAAATACTTAGTTTATAATAGTTTTGAAATAAATAAGTTTATCAAACACCTATTCTTAATGATTTGAACAAAATCACTAACCATTACTTTTGAACAGCTATACCAAACGGGCCAAAAGTCTAGTTTTATCTTGCTTCTTGATTTGTTTTGGCTAATTATCTTACTTTATAATTAATCTTTAGATAATTATAAAATTAGTATCACTAAATAACTTTAAAATTTCCAATCACTACTAAAAAACAGCATATAATCGACAAAAAAATAATCGACAGTAAAAAAACTGTCGATTATACTTATATCATCGACAAAAATTCTGTCGATTATAATAAAATGTCGATTATATGGTATAATCGACAGCCATTGTGGCTGTCGAATATACTTTCTATAATCGACAGTCATTTCTGTCGATTATACTGGCTATAATCGACAAAAATGATTGTCGATTATACCTAATACAATTTTATATATTTATATATTTAGTAATAAAAATTTAAAACTATTAAATGTAAAATTATTTTTAACTAATATTATACAAATATATACTTTGATTTAATTATCAATTCTAATACTAAATATTTATACTTAACTTATTATTATATATACATAAAATATATAAAATAT